GAGAGGCCATTGATATAGGTCTAATGTCACTAATAATACATGAGGCAGCATAACAGGAGGTCTTTGGAGAGAAAGGCAGCACTTAAGGGATTCTGGACAGGTGGAATTCAGTCGTCCTTTGGGGGTTAATTACAAAAATTGGTCCAATTTATCCTGATGTTTCACCTCCTTTGATATATTAGAACATTTCAAATGTTTAACCTTGAAAGGACAGAGCTGCTGTAGCTGTTCTTGCATAGTCCTGCCTAATAAATTGAGACTAGGGTGGGTCTGCTTGGAGTCTCAGGCTCTGTCCGAGTCTTGTAGGGATGCTGTTTTTACTGCCATGGGAACTTTTCCAACTAAAGCACTGTCTGGAGAAGCTTGGTAATAACTCTGATACTATACATTTTAAGATTTTCTGGTTTCTTACTCAATAGTACCTTAAGGTCTCATCCTCTCAGCCACCGATGACTTCATTGGGAGTACCACTTCTGGGCTCTGTCCCTGAGATACACAGCACCCTTCACTTCCAGGTAACAATTAGGCATTTTGAGGTATGTCTGTTGTAGAGAAAAGAAATTGCAGTATGGTCCCTGCCAGCCAGACCCACATCCTACCCATCACACAAGGACAGCTGTCGGAGGGAACACAAAGAGGGCAGAACAGTGCCTTTTGTCTCCTTTTCTTGAGTGGATACTCCAAGACGACTTTTATCCAAGCATTGAGCCATTGTCTTGTCTAAGCACTGTACAAATATTGGTAACTAATTTGTATTCTGTGCTATCCTGATAAAGCAAACAAGTAATTTTGTTTATACACTGAAGGCTCTTTCCCTATCTGGTAATATTAAATTAAAGTTCGGACCAGGATCATTTGATGTGCTTTAAATTAGAGGGAAAATACAGGTGTCACATTCGTGATTGAACTGGCACGTGAAATTCATGATTGTATTTATATCAGTGGGATTATATTAAATGGTTGGGTTTATTTTTACACTACATCAAGCCTCACGCACTGCGGGACTCTGACACACAGTTGTCAAAACAGCCAGACAGGTTGCTGTGGGGTCCTTTGCTGTGATGGCACTGGGACTCCCGAGGGACAGAGAACAAGATCCATAGCCTCCTGCTACCTCCCAGAGCAAAGCAGTATGAACTACTCTTTTCTGGTGGTTTTTGCCTAACCAATACTCTTTACTCCCACCAGTGTTCCTAGATCACTGTGCATACCAACAGCAGGTCTCAGCCCTGACCCCAAATTCTTTCTTCTGAGTGTCCTGGCATTTTTCCTGGAATACTGCTGCAGACGCTATGGGAGCCTGTGTGGGAGTGTAAAGTGCCTATTGCATAGAGCTGAAAAGGCAGAGGGCAGTGTTCAGCCTTTCTCTTGCTACACCACACTCAGCTCCACCAGGCATGACTTTGCTTAGGTCTTTCAATTTGTTCACTGAGAGCCAAGATCCAGCGATTACATCCCATTGAAATCAATGTCAGGCACTTAAAGGCAGCTCTAATGTTCAGCATCTGAGCAGGAATTCCCCGATTTACATGGGGAAGGCACCGGGCAGCAGTGGGAGGCTGGCTTTGAGCTCTGCTTGCTGCAAAACAAACATAGGTTTATTTAGCTTTCAGTAGCCTTGGAGCTAGGCGCTTATCACCAGATGCAGCTCCCTCTACGTAGCGCTAGCCTTGGAGAAGGCTCTCAGTGAATCACGAGCCCCTCGTCTGCGGGGCTCCTGCTGGCTTTGTATCTCCGTGCTGTGCTCAGAATCATGTGAGGAATGATAACAGCTCCCACCACTTACACTGGGGACCCCTCCGCCACTCAGCAGGCAATCTGGGGAGATGGCTCCTGATGGGCAAAACCATGGGGGCATAAGGCTCAGGTGTAATAAAAGAGGCGGGGGGGCTTCTGCTTTGTCACGGTGATGGGCCACATGCTTTGCTGGCTGGTGGAGCAGCCCTCAGTGTGAGGAGGTCACTTCCCCAGTACCAGCTAGGATGTGAAATGAGCACCGCTCAAATTCCCCGTGCCCTGTGCTCGGCACGAGAGCAGCATCCTCTGGGCCAGAGTGACTGTCACTCGCTGGTGCTGTGGCTTGAAAGCCCTTCACCACAGATCCTTGAAGTACTGCAGCCTTGCTTCCTTCAAGCTTAATTTGACGGTGTGTCAGTGCCCAGACACAGCTCAGCTTTTAGAAAGAGTCTTTGTCAGAAAGGGCTCCGGCACTAGGAGCTCACCCTGCCATCACGTCAGTGCAGAATCCATCTAAAACACACTTTTCTGTCAGTGTGCTTTGAAACAAAACAATTGTAATCACACATTTATTCCTTTCTGACATCTCCATTGCTCTGCCCCTCAGGAACCCAGCATGCTTTGTTTGAATTATAAGATGATTTTAATACTGTGTTTGTATTGTGCTCTGAATTGTTCCTATTGTTGTTCTACAGTGCCCCAAGTGTCCTGGCTGCAAAATGCTACAACTGGATTATTTCTTTGCATAGGCAAACACTGGAAAATAAGTTTACTGGTATTGTCAAATGGGTAGGAGTAAGCCCTGAGTATATGCGTAAATGCACACGCTGGAGTTCACATAAATAATCAGCAGGTGTATACACACCCATGCACATGCCACAAGATTGTACTCATGCACTTGAACTGCCAACAGGCGTCAAGGAAACGTGCTGGAAAGATCACCTCAAATTTCTCTCGCTTTGACAATGGAAGGTTAAGTCTGAATGCAAATCTGAGCTCATTCACTGCATCTCCTGGTTTCTGCAAAAGCTTCTCTTGCTTTCGTGTGGCTGCTCTAAACTGAGAAATTATGTCTCGGTTCTGCTTTGGGTAGACTGTACACACAACAACAGGCATGTGGAAAATCTTGTTAAACCAAGTGAATTTTCTGGCCTTGTGAGACGAGTCTGGGGTGAAACGCTCATTGGCTTCTGGCAGCAATCATTCAGAAGTCAAACCAACCGTATTTTGAAACACCTTGGGCACTTTTCCACTTCTTCCTGTCCCCGTGAGGCTGGGAAGGCAAATAACAGTGAAGTCACAGTGGGCTGTAAATGTAGATGCATGTGGAAAGACACTAAAATCACATTTCTTCCAGTTTGGACAAAGAGGCTGACTCACTGAAGAAAATGCAAGACTGCTTTACTACGCTGATGGTTGCTCATGTAATTACAGTGATACAGCACAGACTACGGAGGGTGCCTGAAGCCTTTGCCTTCCCATAAGCAGATGATGCTGTAAACTTCCCAGCTCAGTGGAGCAGTGGCAGAAGGGTGAGTAGGGTTGAAGAAAGACAGATTTTGATTCAACTTTATTCCTTTGCTCCTGGCCAATGGATTTTCAAATAGACCTTTTTTTTTTTTTTTTTTTTTTTTCCCAAGTATATCCCCAGGTATATGGTATTTGTCCTGTTTTCTCAGAACTCTTGGAGTTTTGTTCACATTTGACTAGGAATGAAAGTGCCGAGTTGAGGTGATCAATACCAAGAAGAGCACAGTTTATCTTAGGTTGCCGGGCCTTGCTTTTGGCTTTTATTTTGTCTTGTCTTGATTATTGTTATATATGGCTGTGCCTGCAAAAATTCAATAGGAATTAGAGGTACATTCCAAGGAGCCCAGCCTTGTCCTTTACTGAATATTCTTTCACCTGGGGCAGCAGGAAGAGAGAAGATCCTGTGCTGTCCCATTGTTCATTATCCCTGGTGTAAAATGCCAGTTCGACTCTGCAGAAACCATGACTGCTTCCCCATGCTTTCTCCCTAAAGCTTTCCAACAGTACAGCCCTGGCTGCTGACATTTGCACTGTAATATCACCTCAAATTGATTTGTGGGGGCCAAAATGATGTGGTAATAGGGCATAGGCAGCTCTGCTGCTCTGTCTTTTCTAGCCCTGTTGCTGCCACTGGTAGAGTTGCACAGGTGACAGCAGTGAAAGACAGTTTTAACAAAAATAAATAAATAAATAAAAGATCAGTGAAGCTCTATGAATATTTTGGTCTACATGGATCCCTGCTCATGAAAGGCAGAATTTCTGTTTAGATTTGCAGACTGGATTAAGTGAAAGCAACAGTGTGCCTTTCTATTCCTCTAATTAGGAGAGGTTTACAAGCTTGTTCTCCTGCTTAAAAGACAAATTTATCATTAGCTGTCTTGGCAAGGGAAATCTGAATGAAATTTCAAGCTATTAACTTTTAACACATAAATTTACTTATTGACCCCTTCCATAAAGAGAAACAGCTGCAATGCATTGCATCAAAAGCCTATTCAGCCCAGCAGCCTTTCTAACAGTAGCAGTGGCGGATGCTCCAATATGAATGTAAGAACAGAGCATCTATGCCTTGCCTGGTTCATCTCCCCAGCCTCTGGCAGTCAGCACTTGAAAAGCTTCCCATTTTGCTAATCTAGGATTTATTTCTAAGATTACACCTTCCAGCAAAACCTGCAGAATGAGGATGCTTTTCAGGGATGTATAAAGGTATGAGAGATAGCACAAAAAAAAGGAGTATTTGAGCAATGTCTTGTTTACATCAGGCAGTGTAGGAAGCTGCCTGCTGTTGCACTATAAACTGGCTGTCCTTGGCCCTTTCTTTTCCTCTGTTTCAGCAAATTCCAAGCAATTAGGTCCTGGAGATTTCCAGTCCCAGCTGTACAGGCAGTTAATCTCCTCAGCTGGTAGTGATGGGATCCATTTACCTTCATGACAATTAGGAAAAAAAAGGCAAACATGCAGGTGGGGAAAGACCTAAGGATTTATTTCCAAGGTGGAAGAAGATAAAGAGTTTGAGGGTGATCTGCCAGTGCTGAAGTATTCCTGCAAGTCCAAGCAGAAAGTTGCAAAGATCCCTCCCTCTCTGTGTTGGTCTTTCTGGCATGTGCTCCTGAACCTTTTTCCACTGTGGTCTGTGAGCCAGCTGATTTCACTAATACCTTGTGATAAATGAGCCAGCAGAGCAAAGATTGGGTGATGGACAATAAGTATTAAAGATTTAATTCCTGGCATTCTGTCTCTTGGGTGAGGGCTCTTGTCTACCAACTTACTAAAACTGACCTGAAAGAATTGATAAGTATCTTCATTACTATACATAGAAAATAAAGTTGTTTTGTTACCATCTCCTCAGAAGAACCAGGCATCCCCAACTTTTGGGGCTCTTTGCCTGCAGCAACCTCTTCTTTTCCTCACATCTGGATTAGTCTGTCCTGCCTTAGTTGGCATAATTATTCTTCATTTGCAGGACTCAGCTCTACTTTTTCTCCTTTTCCTTCCCTTCCCAGAAACGTCTGGACTCTTTGTTTTTGCAAAGCTGATGCCACAGTTTAAATAGTGCTAGTACCTGACAGAGCTCTTCTCTCACCTGGGACACTTCATCCTCCAGGTAAATGCTCTTCTGTCCCTCATTAAACACAGTGCATCCAATTTACCTAGCAGGTTAATCATGGGCTTTGTGCCTCTATTTCTCTTTTTGTGGCTGTGTTGTGGACCAAAAGGCCTTGGCCATGTGGTGAGTTCTGGGGCTGGGTAATGTGCTCTATTCTCCGTGGCCTTCCACCTGGGGGTGCAAAAAGGAATGATGGCTGACTCTCAGGGAAAGCTGTTTTCCAGATTTTGGCTGCTGAAATGGCTTCAGCTTTGGATCTCAGCAGTGGTAGAGGCTAAGTGAATTGGCACCAAAGATTTTTCACCAGAGAGCTCTAGAAGCAGCAGCCCAAATCCAATTGAGATGATAATTTTATTTCATAGTTTCTTTCACATTTTTAGCTCTTGTTATCTTCACTAGAAGTCTCTCTGGAACCGTGCCTCTCTTTGTCTTATGACAATGCCTATGTCCATGGTGTACCAGCACACCTTTCCTACCTTTCTTTTGTAGCTCGGCGCCTGTAGGCTGGAGCTGAAGATTCACCAGCAAATAGACAGTAGAGCTAAAAATGAGCCCAAAGGTGATCTGAACTGAATCTTTCAAAGCTTTCTTACCATGGTGCTTTAATTCGCTAGCAGATAGCTAAGCACTGGGCCTTTGCGACCTCACCCTGCAGCTAGCTGCTCTCTTAGGCCAGGAGTCTTACACGAGTAGAAACTTAGAAGATTGTCATCTCTTATCTCTCTCCAAACTTTGCCATCAGTTTTGAATGTGACATTTGGTAATGTAGCAACAGTAGAGCGCAGAGAAAAAAAAAAAAGAAAGGAAAAAAAACACACACCCTTTCAGACTCCAGAGGAGAATTGCTCATGCCATTTCCCTTTTGTATCCACTGCTGAGGTATTTGAAAAGAGCAGGAGATAAGTAGCCTTATGACTACTACAGATTAACAGGCTCTGAGGTACCGAACACAGATTGCTGCTGCTGGAAGTATAATGGCTATTGAAATTCACATTTATATAGACATTTCCATGGTGGCACTGCAAAGAGCAGGGTGTATAGAGGGCTACAGACCATAAACGCTGAAGCCATGCTAAATAACACAAGGAGCAAAAGCCTGCTGTTGGGAAGCAGCAGGGCACTGAAGAGTTCCTGCTGTGTAGGAGGCCCTCTCTTACTTCAGGTTATGGACCTTCCTCAGGGACAAAGGATTACACCACGGAGAAGGGAATGTGAGTCCCTGACCTGCGGCGCTGAGTGACAAACTGCCACGAGGTGTTTTCTGTCCTGCCCCATCCTCCAAGGCAGCTCACAGGCACAGGGTAAGCAGAGGAGTTCTGGGGGACAAAAGTACAATGGGGTTTCTCTTAGTCTTTGTTTCTGCTTATGGTTTGGTTTTCAGAGCTCATTGCACAAGGATGGGGCCCCATGCAACATGGGCTACAATGAGCCATGTCATCCAAGGTGTGCGGGCAGGTTTTGCACAAGGGTGGTTAAGGCAACAAGGACTTTTGCTTTCCTTTCTTTAGCACTGGAGTTTGAGAGGCTCAGAAACAGCTGCACTGGGGCTGTACCAGGACAAGATTACTAATTCTCAGCCACAATCTGTGATGGAAATTGTGAAGCAATCTACATGAGTGAATTCAGTTTTTCTGATGTCTTGAGTTGTAAGGTCAGTATTACTGTTCCCATAGTATGGCTGGGGAAATGGATGTCCTGGAAAGAAAAGTGTTTTTCCCAGGGTCACCTAGAAGATCAAGGGCAGTCTTGGGAAAATAATATGGATATCTTTCTCCAAGTCTCCGGGTCTAACCCTTCACATGCAATTTCCTGATAAAGACGCAAGTCAGTTCTTTTTGTATGTCCTTATGGTGTACAACATCTACATCCACAGCTTCTGGACGCCTCCCAAGCATTTGTAGTGCTTTCCTTCCAGCATCCCTGTGAAGGAAGTACTAGAGTGCTTCTTTAATAGTTGAGGAATAACAGTGCAGGGGGTTTAAGGTTTGTGCTGTTGCCTTGAATGTGTTGAAATCCTAGATTATATAGAAAGCTGAACTGGTATAAATAATGGTTGCACAAGTCCTGCAACAAATCAGTGTAATAACCTGATATTGGATATTTAGATGCAGAAACCTTAATAAGTCTTCTGCCAGGGGAGGGGACAGACTCTCCATCAAACTTTCATGTTTGTACCTTCTCCGGGGAATAGAAGTTGCACATAGTTGTTAGCTCTCAATTATATCCACAGTTTTCTCTCCGGCTGCTGCTGTTACTCAGCAGAAAGATGGGATGTTGATTTTCATCTCTTATGTGCTTTTGATTGACTGATCCCAAAGGAAAAGAGGGATAAAAAGCCATGTCTGCAGGCTGCCAAGGAAATGTCCTGGACAGAGACATTTCCCCTTTCCTCCCATCCTGTGACCTTCTATCATCTAAGTGCAGGGAGGTTTCTGAGCAAAGGCAAACAATTCCAACTTGTGTAATGGTTTTGTGATATAGTTATCCCATCAGAAAAATGTGTTTTCTGGATCGCATTGGGTGCTTGGTGCTCTAATAGTAGGGGGTGTAGGTCATGACTGAGAAGCATCGGCAGAGATGTGTGAGGGTGTCACATGAATACCAATGTGACCTGAAGGTCAGAATTGAGGGCTGCTGACAGATTTTGGTTTGTGACAGATTTTGATACCAAATACCTTTATCAAAGAGGTATGTCCTTGCTGCATCGGCGCCATCAACACTCAGGGCAACTTCATTCTGTCAGAGGAACCACAGTTTCCTCTAGATTTGCTAAAATTCAATATCAAACAATTAAAGGTTAAAAATAACTCCACAGCTGGGTCTATTCCTCTCTCTAAGTAAATGTTTACTCTCTTTGTTTCTATGTCAGTGGCACTGGCCAAGTCAACACTCAGATGCATCAGAATGAAACGAATTATTGCTGCAGCCTCCAGGGTCACACAGAGCCCATGGACATGTGCAAGAAACACATAACTTATTTTTGCTGGAGGGAAAATGCAGAAATGATCCCCAGGTCTTCAAATGGAAGCAGCCAGTCTCATAACAGTTAAGGCTACCGGGCTGTCTTATTAAGGTCAGATCTAGTGTGTCGTGTTGAACGTAATTATTCCACCGCTTATAATTTCAGTACATTTGATTCTGAATATGAAATGAGGCAATTTTCTTCCTGGGGATAAGAGAAATGTGTGCCTTTGCAGAGCATGAGACACAATCACTCTCAGACTGGCCAGCTTTATTTCTTCCTGATGAGGCACTGACTCCCCAGGGAATGAGCCTGAAACAGTATTTTCAGCAGAGAGGGCAAAATACAAAGAAGAAAGTTTTTAGTCTGCTCTCAGGGGTGTTGTGTTTGGATGGTGGCCTGTTGCTAAGTGGCCCCATGGGAACGATTCCCAAAAGGATCATAGTTCTGTGTCCAGGGATTTCATTCCCTTTAGACCTCTTTCATCACTTCATTCAAATCCTAATGCTGAGATTGACCCTGTAGGCTATTAGTTGCCCTCAGCTGCCATTCTTCCTGTTTTAAAAGCAGGGCTGATGGGCTGATAGGAACATAAAAAAAAAAAAAAAGAAAAAGAAAAGACTCTTCAGACCTGGCAAATTTTGTCATTAGGTAAGTACAAAATACTCTTTTTATTTATTTATTTATTTTTATTTTTGAAGTGAATGGGATTGGGTTCTTTGTTGCCTTGCACTTTACACTGAAATGTATGCTTGTGCCAAATGCTTATAACATGCTGCCAAATCCAGAGAGTAGCATTTTGTATGTTCTTTGTTCAGGCATGAATGCCTGTGCAAGGTGCAAAGCAAGACTAGCTCAGATGCTACAACAGTCCCAATCAGAGAATGTTACTAGCAAATGCTGAAATGGGGCAGCACATTTCCTTAGTTCTTCTGCCTCTTGTCTGAAAACAGGATCACTGAAACTGATCGTAATCCTTACCCCACCAAACTGGCATACGTTCAGAAAGCTAAGTATAAAACAGAACTACCCATGGTCTTGCTCACTTGCAACCTACAAATACAATTTAATTTTTCAAAGCTGGGCCCATATGGGAATTGTAACATTGCCAGTTTATTTCCTCAGTAGTTTTCAGGTGTCCTGTGATCACCTATATCTGAGCACAGAATGGTTGGCAAACAATGCAGTTACAATTAAAATACCCTCTACAACCCATCATTTTCATACCTAATAGGGAATGAAAGGTTTTTGTTACACAGTAGTCCCATATTATTTTTTTTCCCAACTGGTTTATAGTCCTGCAAAGTGTTCTGGGTGATGGCAGTGCTGACAGCGGTGTGCCCTCCCTTAAGAATTACTTTCCAAGCAAGAGCTCTGTATTGTAGCACAGAAGGGGCTGGGGCTCAGGTTATTAAGAAGCAAGATATTCTCAAGGGGACCAGTGGAGGTAGTTGTTGTGGAAGAACTCCTAGGAAGGGTGTATTTCCTCCTTCTGATAGCAGTGTTATCTCCCTCTGGTGTCCTCAGAAGGATGTGTGCATACGGTCTGCCTGGCTGGGTTTGGAGATCCCGGTAACAGAGGGTCCTGAATTGCTTGGTGTTGTGGGTCATTATCTTTAGGAAGATGGATCATTATCTTTATGAAAGGTCATTATCTTTAGGAAAGTGTTCTATGGGATCACAGCCTTTAGGAAGAAAGACCTCACCTGTATTGCAGGTTGTCTGTTGTTCTCCTTTCAGCTCCTCCCAGCAGAGACAGGCAGAGGCCTGTTTTGTGGCAAGGCAAAATAAAGGGAGACTTCTGCCCTCACCTCTTCTATCAGTGAGAATAAATAAATTCTGGCAAGGTAGTTATATCCTGCCCCGTCTTGTTGAGCTTGTCCACGCAACAGCAAAGCCTGAATTTGACATTTTATTTTTAGGTTCCTGACCTGAAAGAGCACACATTTTAACTGTAAGTTCATGTGCAAACTCTGGGGCCGCTTGTTCGCTCAAACCAGTGTGGAGAAAGGATCTAACTATGCACTAAGAAATGGTGAGGCTGAAGTGAGGAGGCTTAAGGACAGATCTCAGGGTATGGAGAAACTGTCTGAGCTCAGATTGCTGGGATCCTGTGATTTGTGTAAAAATATGGTGTTGAATTACCACTAAATACACGAATAAGTAATGAGGGGATTCACCAAGAGCATTGGTATCTACCAGAGGAGCTTGCTGTTCTTGGCTCAGTCTGTAGCCTCCCTGGGGATCAGCTGGCATTTAATTTTGATCACTGCAGAAAAGGGAGGCTGAATTTGCAACAGTGACTGACTTAGCTGATGTGTGTGAAAATGTTATTAAAATGGGAAAATGTCTCTCCAAATGGGTTTTGCTTTACCACTTAAAAATCCCATGTAAATCATGCACAAAGGATTTGGAGTGGGGAAAAGTATCAGAGATAATAATAAACTATTAATAGGAACTAGTCAAGTTTCACTCAGTGGGATTAAGACTCAGTCATGTCTCATTTAGAAGTGTAGTATTAAGCCGTCCTTCAGATATGACAAGGTTTATGTTTTTGCTGAGTTGTTTCCAAATGAGGAGGGAAATCTCAATTAATTTAAAATGTTGCCTATTGTCAGTCATGCCTCCATGGGTTTGCTCTCATGTTGGGAGTCCAGACTGATGTCCAAACCTATCCAGCAACAGCAGCAGCAATGGATGTAGGTTTATTGTTGACAAGGGAGTAATATGTACCAAAAAGAGGTGCCCAACATTGGAAATATCGTCTGATGAAGGGTCACTGACAGGAGTGGGGAATTTGTCCGTCCATTCACTAGCATTCACTAATGTTGTGCCAGAAATGGAATTTGAAAAGGTATAGTTCTTCATTCTGAGGAAAACAAGTTTCTTTTTCACTCACATTGGCTGCTGGAAATAAAATCATAGCTATACATGGAAAAGACTGACTCAGCATCCCTCCAGTCACCTCTGTGCAGAGCAGCTATCAAACTTGATGCCTGTGTCTCAGAAAATGTGGTTCCTCTCTCTTCTTCTATGATTCTGTCCCTTGGCTTGGCAGATCTCATTATTACAAGCTCTTTGTTTCCTGATACCTAGCATTACATACCCTCTGTAGGATTTCAATACTTTAGTTTTACAGCCCATCTAAGCAGCTGAGTCAGGGAGCTCACCCATAATGTAGCTGGAACATATGGCATGCATGAGTCCTCGCTGGGTCACAACTGGATTCAATGACTTATTTATCTTAGCACAAAACAGATATATTGCTATATTTAGGTACCTCTCACACTGTCCCTTTTCAACTGTGCTATAAATGAACTTCAAATATGTGCAGGCAGTTATTTTGTCCTCCTTAGGTGTCACTTAACAAAATATGGCATCAGCAGAGTTGTGGCCACTTGCTGAAGTATCCCTATTGATGTAATTATCCCAAATATCATGTCATTTAGAGATTTATTGCATTAGGGGGATGGGATCTAATCATCCTCCTCTTGTACAAGAGAAATGTAGCACTTAGACTCAAGATAGTCATTACTATGACTCCAGTCATTACTACCAGAGCAAAATCAACCAGTTAAGGGATTCCTTTAATCAACTTGTCTTCAACATTTGTAGTTTCAAATCAGTTTGCTGGGATTGTCTTTGCTTAGAATGTCTCTTCAGGGTATCCAAAACATCTATCTGAAATGTCTCCAATTTTAAGAGAAGCCACTCAGTGTAAGCTCAAATGTCTGCTCTCCTCACAAATGTACCCTTCATTTTGATTTCCCTTGTCCTTTTCTGTGATGTTGAGAACTCCTTCTCAGTATAGGACTTGGTTGTCGTTGTTCCTCCCATGTTCTCCCATGGGACGCTGGAAGAGATGGTTCCCAGTAGTGCACGTGCAGACAGAAATTTGGTAAAAAGGAAGAACTTCCTTGGATATATTTTACTGGCAAATTTACCTGGTGTGTGAATTTTTTAGAGAGCACAAATTTTGAATTAATAATAGAACTTGGCTTTGAAAACCCATTCTAGCAATCAATGGGAGGCAGGAATTAGGGATAGACATGAATATTAAGTTATCTAGAAATCTAAATATAACCACACAATTTCAGCTACATAATTTTTGCAACAAACAACTTGTGAATGAACTACAGATCACTTGAATTTTTTAAAGGTTTCCGGATACAATTTCAAATGTTGAATTAATTTCTGGAAAATCTCAAATCAGTGAGCAAACACATCATAAATAGTAAATAGAGTAAAAGATAAGCTACATTCAAAAGCTTACGTACATTAAATAATTTGCTCAACTCCACTGACACTTAGCAGTCCACCCTTTTTATTCTAGCCCCATGCACTCATACATGTGTGCACATACATACACACACACACACACTCATTGGGTCACTCACTCTGGATGATTTAGGTCTTGCAACATCTTGTCATTAGTCACAATCATTAGTGACATGGTCATTTTGCTGATCAAGTTGCTTTTCTCTCACGTTTTCTGGTTCTGCATTGTGCACTGCTGTGATTCCTCCGTGTCCTGTAGAGTTAACTTTAAACAAGGAGACTTACGTGCTTCAGTCTTTAGATGGCACCAAAACTGAATGCACTAATTAGGGAAGCTTTATGGTTTCTATTATTTTCCAGTCAGAAACAGGCCTGCTTTCTTTCAGAGATTGTGGAGGTTCACGAGCTCTGATTTGGTAAGGTTTCTATGAGTTCTACATACATGTATATGCTGTTTGTAATGCTAGTTCTTATGTTGATTAAAGAGCATCATCTAAACAGAAACAATTGCACTAGCAGCTTTGAAGTGCTCTGTCTGTCAGGAAATTCTGTATGGAGTTGAACTACAAGAGTTTGACAACAAAATATAATCAGACTCTTAAAATATAGCATTAAATGGTGAGCTTGTCTGATGTTGGTAGAGGTCCTTTCAATTCCTTCCTATTCAACCGTATGAAGCAATGAAATATTTTCTTTTTATCTCAGGCCATTATTATCTTTAAGGAGTTTGTGTACTGACTTCAAGCTGTCTAGGTGATATTGACTGAAACAAAGAAAACCATGCAATTGCATTTCTAAAGAACCAGTGAGAAATGATATGAAATTAAAATAGATGGAGACATTAAGTGCTCCCCAAGGGCAATGATACTGGTACTTAATGGCCAGAGATGTACAAGAGACAAAACTAGGAGTTATTTACTACGTAAATCCTTACAGACAGGCTTCTGATACCTGGAGCTGTGGTGAAGGAGGGTCTGAAATTGCTGCTTTCTTTCAGATCTAATGCTGAGATGGTCATCATCCCCCCAAACTGATCTCTTCTTTGTCCTCAGTCCTTCTCATATTCCAGTGTCTCTTGCTAAACTACTTGTTTCTTTAACACCAGTTGTTAAAGTGCAGTTAGAAGACCAGAGTCCTGGAAAGCTGAAAGACTTCAAAAAGAAAAATTTTCTTCAGGTTCACATTTCTTGAATTGAAATTGAATTACTTACATTATCTTTTATTTATTTATACTGCATTTCTGAGCAGAGCACTTCTGTGGCTAATGAGCAAGTGACCTAGAAGACTTGAATTCTAAAAAGCTTGAGTTTTACTGCTAAAATCTGGAATCTTAGGCTTGATTGATGCTAGAATTACTCAGATAAAGAAAATATCCAGTGTGTGCAAGGGTGGTGTACTGTCTAATCGCTCTGCCTGTGTCAAGTCGTTGTTTCAGTTAGCCCAGAAGAATGAACCATGTTCCTTTAAAAAATATTCTAAGAACACATTTAGTAACAATGCTTATGTAGAATGGTAGTAACCCAACTGATCTGCTACAGTACTGGCCTAAGACAACCACTAAAATGTTAGTATTTATTAAAATTTTTAGAGTAGCAGCAAGCTCTTTGTTATCTCGGGCATTACTGCATTGACAAATACACATGTATTGAAGCTGCTTAGAAAAATCTCTTTCCCCCATGCATTTAAAGGTCTGCTGCAGCCTGTGCCCTCTCCTTACCTTCCATGGGATAGGTTCAACGAGCTGCTGAGATCTCCCCCAGCTGAGGTTTAGTGCTTGGACCATATTTTGAACGTCAGCTTTGGCACTGAAGCTTGCATAGCCTGGTCTATTTTCTCTGACCTGGTCTGCTCATTTTTGCTCATTTCTGCCTCTGTATGGAAGCTGACTGCCCTCTTGGTTGTACTGCAGGCCTGGACCGCTCACTAAGATTCTGAAAAGATAAAGGGGAGGGGGGATGCTAGGAAATCTGCTTCAGATGCCTTTTGCAGCAAAGTGAGTGTGTGTGACTATAAGCCTAATAGAAACATTGGAAGCATCAGGGACATGGGTGAATCCCCAAATCCTCTTGGTTTTGAAGTGCATTGTGGCTAGTCCCCTGGTAAGGGATGCTCTGGGAAGTGTCAGACTAACAGCAATGAACCTTCCAAGGTGAATTGTGTTACAGATCTTTTTCTCTCAGCACTGTTCACCAAATGGCTGTACAGGCTGACTAATGCTTCCCCATGAGCGGGCATCCTGGACACATTCTGTAGTATAACAAAGACTTGAAACAACAACACCAGCTCCTTTGTATACCCTAGAGTTTTTGTTGTTGTTGTTGTTGTTGTTGTTGTTTTTGTTTTTGAGTAGATGCTGAGCCCCAGGCAAATACTGACCACAGCCAGGTGTGCTTTCCATGTTTCTCCTTGAAAGGACAGCTCAAGACAGATACTAACCATAAAAGCCTTTATTAAGCTGCTATATCAGTCTGCAAGTTGAGTGGTCAAGCACTGAAACAAGCGTCCAGAGAAGCTGTGGGATCTCCATCCCTGGAAGTTTTAAAGCTCTTCTGGATGAGGCCCCGAGCAACATAATCTACTTCTGAAGCTGACTTTGAGATTGTTATTGGATTAAATAGACTCAAATCCCTCCAATCTGTATTACTCTAAATCTTAAAACTTCTTGTCTGTGTTGATTGTTTTGACTCATCAGCTCTTTAAATTTCTTCGCTCCCTGGTCCCCCCACCCCCCTTGCCACCCCTCCCCTTAATATATATATATATAGATAGATAGATAAATAGATATATCCTTAAATGTTAGCTTCTCTGTCCTGAAAAAAATATAGGTTCCACAGAAAAGCACAGATGACCCAAGTGGAAATTTTAGTAGTACCATTACATCAGAAGAGGGCTTTAATTAGTAGGTCTGAAGTAAAGATAATCAATTCTGCCTGTATCTGTTACTGACACATGAGAGGGATACTAAGCAGATAGAGACCATCATCTGTTAAAGTGAAAGGTGTCTTCTTTAACCTTGCAAGGATCTCACTTCCAACACTTCTCTTCATTCCTTGAGCAGTTTACCTGGGCAATAACTGTGAGGGGAAGAAAAGTGCTTTTTTTCTTGGCCATGGGGTGGAAGAAGGAAGAATTCAGAGAAGTAGAAATTCAGGAAGTCAGGAACTATCATATTTAGAATGTGAGTTTTTAATACTTACTTTGCTGGTGAGTTTGTTCTCAGGAACTGCACAGATTTGCCTTGGCCAGGAAGGAAGAACTTCACTCCTAGTGGACTCAGCTGTGATGAAAGGCACTGCATTTTGCTCTAGTGCAGAAAGCAAAACAGGAGCAAGGGGACAGGGCTGCAGTCTTACTTCTCTGAAAGATGATTCCTTGCAGTGATGCTGTCACAGGGGGCTGCACAGTGTGACTTTGGATCTGTGCTACCTAAGAAAAAGCCCCCTCTGGTGTGGATGCTGTCTCTGTGAAGGTCCCCGGCCTGCATACTGCACAAACATTGTGGGGAGCTCACCACAAAGATGAAAACTTCGTAGAGAATGGCTTTACCCGTCCTCACTGTCACCAGCCTCCCTGGGAACAGCCTAGCCTGTGGCCAACAGGGAAAAAGTAGTTAAGGACAACATGGTACCACCCCCCCCTTACACTGTCTTGGATTATCAGATATTTATCATCCTCTGCTTTCTAAATGATCCTTAATGTTGGACCTCTTGGATTATGAGAGGAACCTCAAAGAGACTGAGAATAATGTGAAAGTGGTGAGGAGAAAATGAAAAGAAAGGCAAGCACCGTGACAGAGAAGAGATCCAATTTTCCTAAGTGTCTAAGGGACTTATGAGATCAAATCTCTTGTAGGCTGAAGTCACTGGGGGTGATTCTCATAATTTACCCAATTTAGCAGGAAAAAAATAAAAACAGGATATAAGCTTGGCAATGATTATGCTGTAGGCAAAACAACCTTTACTTGCAAGGTCTCTTGCTAGACTGTCTGTATCCTAACTGGGATGGTGGGTCCCTGGGGAATTCCCCCTCGTACACATCCTTTCTCGGCAGTCAGAGAGCAACTAATGTGCAAGAATGCCTGGAAGGAGAATCTCGTCACAGTTTTTGAGTGACAGCTTGTAAACTGTACAGTCTCCAGTAGAAAGCCTGTCTGCTGGTATTTCAGTTCCCTGATTGGGATTCTGTTTCCCCTGCAGTCTGGCCTCTCCTTGTCTGTTTGTTTTGTTATCGTTTGTATGGAGATCATCAGATGCAAGTACATTTGACATATGGAGATAACAGTCAGGAAAGGAAACAGCATATGGCAGACAATTCATATCCATCAAGATCTGTCATAAAACCATTTTTAGCAATAGAAAAAGAAGGGAGGAAAAAGACAGCAGGTTTGAATTTAAAACAACCACAGTATTCGAACAAACAGGAGGGCCTAGGGCTTGCTTTGCTGAATGACACCACCAGTTCACCGAGGCCAGCAGCAGTTGGTACCCAGTGCTTCAACGGTGGGTTAAAATCTTCTGCAGTGCATTTGCCAATTACTTTTTGACCATCACAGCTGATTAACGACTGGCCTCAAAGCCTTGACTGAAGCTAAATGTATTGACTGCCTAGCCTGTTGAATTGCTACCTTGGGGTACTTCTGAAGTAAGATGTCCTGTTCATCTCAGGGTTGTAGGGTCAAGGGAGAAAGGCAACATGGCATGTGTGCTAAAGGGTGAGCAGACCTGGGGACCCCAGCATGATGTGCATGGTCCGGCTCTCCTTGTGTATCTCATCTGCCTTGTGGCAACATCACATAACAAGCTGGGCAGATGAAATAGTCCAAGTCCTTCCCAGCAGGACACTAACATTGCCTGCTGGAAGGACAGGTAACGTTCGTGTGTCGTAGTCTGAAGTCAATTCATGTGCAAGGGTGCTTGGCTATGCAGCACTGGTGTAGCACCGATAACCTATGTTAAGGTGTGGATGTATTCTAGAAACATGTCGTTCGATTTCTTTATCTAAAAAAATAAAAATAAATAAATAAAAAGTTGATTCTTTAATTTAGCTGAATTGAACTGAAAACCCATTTGGCTGGGGCTGGAGAGGAGTGTTTTGAGATGCTCTATCTAGTCCGAATGTGGCTGTATTTAGATGAACTGATTCCTGTATACTGAAGAGTTTTAAAGAATGAGGATGCTTTCCAGGATAGAAAACTCTATATGTCACTAATCTGTGTAACTTATTTATTAGTGATCAATGGCATCTCTTTGGTAAACTATGACCAAAAGGCCAGGGGAACCTGGCTTTTTACCAAAGAAAGTGGCCTTTTATTTTCTATTTGTTTTCTTTTTTGTGACCCTGCGGAAGAGTCCTGTGGGATCAAGAGGCTCTTCGAAGAATAAGAAAACCTCTGCGAGGGAGTGTTTACATTGCCCAGCCTAACAAAGGTCTCACAGGCTCAGACACAGTACACCCGATTTGTCAAGAGGAAAGAACAGCCTCAGGCTCCTTCTCATGAAACCGAAATCTGAAAAATGGAAGAGAAATAGCCACAGTATAACACGATACTTTCAGGGAGGATCTTCTCCCAGTGCTTTTTCCTTCTGCTCTTTCACATAACCAGAGTGACCAACCCCCTTCCTTCCCTGCCCTTTGTCTTCTTCCCATCTAATATTTGCTCTGCTCCAGGAGAAGAACAGTTGAGCTGTGATGATGGAGTTTGTTGGTATGACATCTCTGGAAGTAAAAATATAGAAAATCTTGTTGGAGGAAGAAATGAAAGCTCTCTGAGATGGAAAAAGCCTGTTTGATGATCCAGGACATGTGGATAAGAATGGAATCGGTCAACCTCATCCATGGGTTAAACGTGCTGAGTTGAGAAGAGTTACAAGAGAGGGGAGCTTGGCCAGGTGTATCTTCCACTCCTGTGTGGGTGAGCAAGGAGGATGAAGCCTTTGCCTGGTCTAACAGGGTGTCAAAGTCCAGCCCTGCCCAGAGCTTTGTCACAGTGTCAGAATAAGGAGGTTTTGTTGCTGAGCATGGCAATACATTACAGGTGCCAGCTAGAAGGGTTTAAAATGCAAAATGGCATTTCAATGTTTAAGAATAGCAAGTAATTTGATGGCTGTAATAGAAAAGCTTCCAATCCTTTAGCAATGTGTTCCAGAGCTGCATAACACTGCTGATAAAATTGCCTTTGGATTCCTTGTCTAATATTCCAGCCTTTCTCTCGCTCAGCAAAACACAATAGCTTGCTCTAAGCCTCCCTGGGAGGGCGGCTAACAGCACATTTACTAGACACTTCAAACATTTGATCATATTTCTCCTGAGTGTATTTAATATCTGTTAATGTCAGGAGCCCCAGCCTGATCGAAATACCTGCATTGCCGGGAAAAAATGTTTAATATAAAAGATGACACGGGTAAGCAATCACTTACTGATGTCTTTTGGAAATGGATAGGTGACTACGTAGCCCCCCTCCCCACCCTGCTCTGTTACCACCCTGCTGCTGTGTGCTTCTCTGAATGCATTACAGTGGCTATTCTGAGTATGCAGGAGATGCCAGGAATAGTTTCATGTTTCCTGCCTCATCAAACCAAATTCAATCTGTAAAAAATTAATACACCCAGAAGGAACAGTTAAAAGCATCTCCAATCAATTAATGTTAAAACGGGGGCTAGGAGGCTGATTTGTTAAAGGAAAACCAATCCAGTTCAGAGCTCAAGAGGCTGCTGGGGCAAGAGTACAGTCAACGTCTTGAGCTGTAATGTTTCCAAGGAGGGGAGCAGATAAGATATAAACTGAAGCTATTAATGCATCATCCCCAGCTGTTCACTGCTTCAGGCTTGGAGACCCCAAATAGACCATTTGGGGTTGGCCAAGAAGTTTCAGCAAGGCAAGTCTTCCCAGACTTTGCAGAAGGGAACGGATGGCACATACCCAGCTCTTTGCACTGGCTATTTGCATTTTCTGTCTTTTCTCCCAGAAGCAGCTGGAGTGAGAAATAAAAGGATGCAGCCAACATCCTTGAGGGATCTGCATGCTAACAGCAGCCTTGTGCTTACTGCACTGCTCACTCCAGCAACTCAGAAAACAAGTTGATATCCCATCTCTATGGGTTTGCCTTAAGAATCAGAAGTCAAGAAATATGGAAGAGTATTTTTTCTTTTGATTTCTGAACCTTTCCTCCATTCAACATTCTCTTCACTATCACAAGGGCCAGGCTTCAATTTAGTTTGTAATAGAAACAGAGACTCTCATATCATCTCTTGACTCCAGGGCCTGGAGCTTTAAGCTGCAGTTTGAAAGACATGTGGGGGAAGTTGCAAGAAATGGCAGCAAAGATCTTCATGGTGAAATTAAACAGAAATCTCAGTAATTTACACACAAGAGGGCTCAATCTGCAACTCTTGGCTGTCTCTTGTCTGGTGTGCTGGTCCTCATAAAGGTGATGGTATTTTTGATATTTTTTTTTCTCATATGCTGTCAGATTGTTTCCAAGGCATAGAAAAATTCCAAATTATGGCTGAATTCACATTTGAATGAAATCTTTCTGAGCATCTTTTCTTGCTACCTGGCCTCTTAAATATACATGTATATATAAGGTACACAACCAGCTGAAGCCTATTGTCATTATTTTGCCTCTGATTAATGTAGGTCACACTTTTGTTCCTTCCAGCTATTAAGAATTTAGATTCATTTATACTTTAATCCCTTGTCTTTTCCTGTTCCTTTGTTGCTGTGTTACATCCTCACAGTCAGAGAGCATTGAGATAAGTGGTAGAAAAATGGGGAGAGGGAGTTAATGCAGTAATCCAGCTTTGAAATAATAATAAAAAAATGGCCAGAGATAAGTGCTTGAATCCTTCTGCTTACTGAAAGCAGAAGGGAAAGAAAAAAAAAAAAAGTGGCAGGAGAAACTGAGGCATAGAAATACTCTGCAGCAGGACTCAAGCGAACATCAGGATGGTGTGTTTGAATGCAGTCTTTGTGAGAAAGGCTTAATGAAACTGCATTTCCCAGGCCAGCCTGGGCTAAGAGTGAAGGAGGTTTGCTGAAGGCTCTGACGGGGTTGCATGGCTGTAGGTATATGGTTTGGCTGGTGCTGGAGTTACTCTGTTTGGTGGGTGGCTATGTTCAGAGAGGGCTTCATATGATCACGAGAAGGAAACAGAGAAGCTCATACCTGCTGAGATGGGAAAGAGACCTACCACGTTTCCCACCTTCCCCATATCCTTCTGTCCAGAACCCCTGTTCCTGAGAAATAACTTCTCTTTGTTCACAAGTCTTTGCCTCTGAAGTTTAGAGCATGTTTTGGGCTTGATCTTTTCTAAGATCTATATTTCTTTTGAAGGAGGGAAGGAAAGGTGCTAGGTGATCTCATCTATGCTCCCTTTTCTCATGACAGTTTGGACTTGATGAGCTTTTGAGGTCACTTCCAAACTGGGCTGTTCTGTGATTCTGTGAAATTTGTAGACACCAGCACTGGCTCTGCCTGCAGTGAGGAAGCATGTGTGCATGGTCATTGACTTCAAAACTAGCATTTTTCTACTTTCTTTTAGGTAGAAGGTAACAGCAAACTTCCCTCCAGTTAAATCAGAGTAAAATGGGTCTGGAGAGAACTCAGGTAAAGCCAATTAAGATATTTTTATATTCACTAAAAGAAGTTTACACAGAAATACAATTATTGGTCTCCTCTGTCAATAACAGGGCACACCGACTCTAGAGTGCCCTAGGTTACATATCTAGTTCTTTGCTGTTTGAAAGCCGAAATCAATTTCCCTATGAAATTTTGAAAATAAAATACAGATTTCAGGAGAATTTTTGTACCTCATTTATACCATGTCACAACAGATATACACTGGGTTTTGCTGGAAAGAGAGCATCTTTTTTTTTCCTTTATGCAGGTCTGGGCAAAGGAAATGATGTTGCTGCAGTCAGGGTATGGGAGACTGCATGACTCAGCCGTGTCCTACACTGAGATATAATAAAACACAGTGTGGTGCAGCTTTAATTTTAATTCAAAATAAATATTTTCATAGGCTACAAAATTCCTCTAATACACTTATCTGGGAGAACACGAAGATTAAAGAAATCCTGTTAATTCCTTTATCTTTCAGATACAGGGCTGAAAACAAAGACATCCAAACCTTGAGCCATTTAGAAGAGGAAGAAGCCAAAATCTCTGCCAGAGGTTTGACTGCTGGGTTTACTCATGGCTTCAGGTAAGCTTCTTTCCCTGGATTGTTTAGCATTTCAGAGGCCCTCTGTGTTCCTCAAGGAGAGCTGTGGATTACAGACATAAAACCTTTGCATAGCTAGCAGCCAAGGCAGAGCAGAGGGAGTACAAACAAGCTAATCCAGGGTGCCTTCCAGTTCTGCATCCTGCCTCTGACCCTGGCCAGCACTACCTGCTTCAGAGGAAGATGTAAGAACCTCACAGCAGGCAGATGCAGGATAATCAATCCTTTCAACCTTGTTCTCAAGCCCCATTAGATCTCATCCTGATCCCTAAATAGTTCGAGGTTGGATTAAGCCTTGAAGTACGGCATTTAATACTCTCTGAAAATTGTTGTTATCATTAACTCCCATGACTCTGGAAACTAATGTTGTCCATAGACAAATATATTTTCATTTTGAATCGTTCTGTGTCCTTGGTCTAGTACGGCAATGAATACATAGGTTTTATCTGTGGTTATTTCCCTGTGATTTTTCTTCACTCTATGTCCCTTCTACAGCCATTACGAAGTAAGGAGTAGGAATAAACTCAGTATACTCTAAAGATGATACATTCCTTCATCACATTACTGTGAAAAAAGGTCTCAGGGGATGAATTTTTTCGGCTGCCTAAGCACCAGTTTGGTATCTCAAAAATAGAGGGAGTCTTTGCACTGCTCCCAACCCTAACTTAATCCATATCTTAATCCTAGTTACAGACTTTGGCTGGCTTTTGTTCCAGCTTTTCCAGTCATGGCTAGGATGAGCAAGCTCTCAGAGGAGAGCTTTTATTTTTTTGCTGCCTGTCCCTTGGTAGCCCTCTTTCTGCCCTAGTCCATCTAGAGCAGTAGTTCTTGTCTCTCTCCCAACATTCACCCTTACCCTCACCCTTGCCCTGTTTGTCAGCACAGCCTTACCCCAGACCCTTAAGCACCTCCGAAGTGTAAAGGCTCTCAGTGGAGAACACATTTGCAGCCTCCCTGTTCCTTTGGCATTTTTTTTTTTGAGCCCTACTCTATCTGTAACTCTTTTATTGTTTTTCTTTTAAACCCCAACCCTAGCCATTAGTCTCATCTGCTGCACTTTTCCTAGAATGCCTTCTTAATACTTTGCTATAATGGGATTTTTTGATATTTTTTCTCTTGTCATAACCCTACTTAACTTGTGCAGTATTTCTGAGGAACTTTTTAGAGCCTATGAAGTGATGCTGTTTTGTGTGGCATTTCAGCTGGGTCTGTAGTGCATATGTAGAACAGCTCAAACACTTTCTAGTCTTTTATTTCTAATTCATATTGGCTCTCTGCTATTATTTGTGCACATATTGAGTGTACATGAATATATCTCTGGTGGTTTCCTGGAGTATTTCATTGAATTACCCACATTGCATCCTTGTACCACCTGCAGTGCAACATCCTCTCTGTAGCCCCACCTGTCTAACATTCCTACTCCCTGCTCTATGTCCTTTTTTCTCCTTCTCCTTATAACATTGCAGCCTTTCTCTTTCCTGATGCAGCCTCCATCCTTCTCCACTCTCCTTCTTTGTGCTCTTGGCTAGGACAGAGGCCAAGAGGGACCCAAGGGACCCATGTGTGTATGTGTGGTGGGTGAGGGAAGGCAGAGGAGCACCCACCTTCATGAGCCAGCAGAGACCCATGCTGTGATCCAGGGAGGTGAGGTGTGCAGGGGAGATGTTGCCCTGCTGTTATCTTTGGTGTTTTCAGCACTGCTGTTTCATTACATCGGCCAGTCATCTGTTTGTCTAAGGTCTTCCTGAATGTCATCATAATTGTCCCTGGTACTGACCCTTCTAAAAAAAAATGTGTCTGGTGCCATTTTTGTTATTTCAGTTCAATCCCTTTTTAGACCATTCATAAACACATGCAAATTGAGCAGTGTGGGATCCTGGGTGGAGCCTTCAGGCATACAATGTTTGCCAAGGTGAAAATTAGGCCATCCGATAAATCGCTTAGCTGTTTTCCTCTTCTCTAGAGTTTCATCCAAAATATATTTTACCCCTTTCCCAAAGATGTCTTAATTCCTATAGTTGCTCTTTGTGTCACATTTGCTCAAAAGCATTTTATCAGTCTGAACAAGTCATGGCTTTCCTTTAACATGGCCAGCAAATTCTGAGAGATTAGTGAGGCAGTTTTGCTTTCTGTGAGCATCATGCTAAACACTATTTTTTTCCTGTCCTTAATGTTATTTTCAAAGAAGAATGGCTAATATATTCTGACCAGAGGTAGCTTTGCAGACTCCAAAAACCTGTTTCTATTACAGTGCTGATCACGCCATCCCTCAGCACTACCAGGCTTTTAAATGAGTTCAGTAGTAATTGAAAGAACATGAGAAAGGGCAGATTTCAGGAGCTTAGGGCTTGATTTTCCAAACAGATCAGTACTCATACCTGGGACTAGAGTTTCACAGACCTGTTTGGAAATCTGACCCAGGGCTGTGCGGTGACACCTCTTAACAAGCTGGTGAGTCTTCATGGCACAGCGTGGCTCTGCGCAGATAACAGCTCAGCTCCTGGAGATCCGATAGATCTTTCAGTGCCCAGCAAATTAGCCTTTCTGTAGGGCAAGGAAGCTTCACAGCTATTCTGCTTCCAGCCTGAGAATTAGCTGCAGTAGAATTATCTTGATGACCTTTGCCCCGTGCATGGAGAAGACGAGTTTATGCTTTGTATCTACCACTGCCATGTAGATGCTCACAGAAAATGATTTGGGTGTGTATAGATAAGCTCACCCTTGTCCCAGATAAAGAGGAACCTTTTTCCTTAACTGTTTCTGCATGGAGTAAACTCCAAAACTGATGGTGGCTGCCTCCGCTGTCAGCCAAGGGAGACTGAGGAGGTGCTGGATGTCATTGCCCCAGGCACTCATCAAAATTCCCCTCTGACCCTCAGGGCTTCTGTCAGGCATCTTCAGGCTTGTGAGACCTTTAATATCAGGCCATTAATTCTGCTTCTCCCAGCAGAGGGTGGTTTGTCTGATGGGACTCATGTTTCATTGCAGCTGGTTCTGTGACTAGCAATGCAGACATTGGCTGCATGTGTGGATGCCTGGTGTCCTGCTAGTGCCTAACTCTATCGACTTGTTTTCTAGCCAAGCACTAACCACAAGTTTAGCTGTGAAGCAGCTCAGCCTCTGCAGGCAGCTAGGGAACAAGGTAGACTCAGAAAAGAAGTGGATGCTCCATCTGATGACCTAGCCTACTCAATGGAGAGAGTTCCTGCAGCAGAAAACAGAGCAAAACAAAACAGAGCAAAACCTAAACAAAGAATAAAACAAAACAAAACCAAAACCTGAGAAATGCTTCTTCATCTAATCCCAACTATCTTGTCCTGCTGCTAAGAGGAACCATGTGGCTGTTACAGAGACATGCAGGAGAGCGGTGTTATTAGGGGGATCAGGTATTTGTTCAGGAGGCTGTGGGATGCAGCTATTCCTTGGGCACTGTAGATGTATTTACAGTATTAAAAGGTCAAACAATCTTTCTATTTCCCTGTTTGCTTCAGAGAGTTTTGTTGAACATTCTCATTATTCGTTGTGGTATTTCTTTGGTTTAAGAGGATTTCTCTGCACGACCATAGTTATTAGAATGCGGTGTGTGTGCAGAGAATGTGTTATTACTATAACAAGCTTCTCCTCATAGTAGATATTTATTCTGAGTGCAAGGCTTTTAGTTCACTTGTGCGTGTGGCAGCATAGACAAGATGGGGCAGGTAATTTGGCAAAAAAAATGGAGTAGGGAAAAGACTCAAAATTAGTAGTTTAGAGTGGTGACTTCTGCTCCTGTCTTTGTTATGGGCTCTGTGCCAGCTCTTACCTTTCCTTCCACAAAAAGGTCAGGAAAGTGAGAAGCCTTATACAACAATCTGGAGACTCTTAGGATGGGAGCAAATTTTAGTCCTCATGCAATTTTCCCCTAATTGCAGACAGGGCTCTTGGCCCTATTAACTTTTAGGTGAATTACAGAAAGCCTCCAAATCTGTAGGCAGCTGTTGGGACACCTTGTTGATCCTCCTCCAGGATACACTTTTTGTTCCTTGTCCATGACACCCATGAAAAGAGATTGCTGGAGACATCGACAGCTAAACACAGCACATAAATGCAAGAGGAGGTAAAGGCAACAAAAGGAGGTAAAGGACTTTCTGTAGGCTCAGGAAAAGCAGGAGCTCTGGCATTATCAGGCAGCAATAATTAAAGATACTGTAATGAAGCCAAGGAGTCAAAAGCATTGTGTCATGATTTCCACTCTGTATTTTAAAAGCTACAGCATATGGGCCTGGATAAGGATGATTACTTCCTAGAAGAGGTAACCAAAGAGTTCGTTAAACATAATCTGTTAGGATAACATATACCTAAGAGTCTTAAGAGAATTGGCTGAGGAAACGCTGGGTTTTAATGAACCTGGGAGTGCTGGCAGTATTACAGAGGACTGCAAAGGTCTTAGGTTTTGCCAGTACTTCAGACGAGTCTGAGGAGTGTTTAAGATAATTATATGCTAAGCAACCTGATGTCAATACCTGTCAAAATAATGCACAGGAAAATGACACTCAGTTGCTAGCTAGAAATATAATTAACACCAGGTAACATAAGAAGGTAGGGCCTGCTAAACAGAATGGCTTTCATTTTTGTGTTTACAAATTTAGTTGTCAACTGTGACTGCAGAGAGATAATATGCTGCTGCAATGTGTTCAACATAGCCCAACACAACATTTTGACTTGAGTCAAAAGAGGCAGAGCACGCTGACTGATGGGAGAGAGGTTTATATAAAATAGTCTGTGTCTGGTGTTATTTCAATTTCTCTACCAGTGATCTGGAAATACATATAAAATTGCTGCAGATAAAATCTGAGGATGACACACAAACTGATGTAGTAGCCAATAAAGATGGGGACAGTGGTTGCACAGCGCGATAGGATGGTGCAGTGCACAGTGCCCATTTCAATGAAATGTTTTTTAATGTTGCCAAATGCCAGGTCATTCACCTGGGCTCCAGGAAC